GCTCGCGCGCCCAGAACGTGGGGTCGGGGATGGACAGAACCCCCAACAGTGACACATCGATTAGTGAATTGTCCGTTTTCGGTTCTCGAGAGGGCGCCGTGGCCGCTATTTTCCAGGCTTGCGCCCGCCAGGTTTGGGCCTCAGGTCGTTTTCACTGAACCACGTTTTGCTAAGGGGGGGTCTGTCCATCCCCGATGGGGATGCCTCGAGCGAGGCGCTCGCCTTGCACCTCAAAAGAGCTGCACTCCTCTCGGAGCCCCCACATGGCCTCCGCGACGCTGCAGGCGCAGAAGGGGGGGGGCCCCTAAGGGAGCCGCCGGCGGAGGTTACACGTGCCTGCTTGTATTCCGATTGTGGAGACGTCTCGAGCAAGCAACCGGCTGATTTTGCCCCCCCTGCGATCGTCTTGGCATCGCTCGGACGTGTGCATTTTTTCTCGGCGAGAACCATCGAGGACCATCCTGGACCATCGAGCCAACAAAAACACGCACGAAACCGAAACATGCACGGGAAATGGGCGTCCGAGCGACGGCAAGTCGTCGCGATGTAGCAGGCGAAGCCCGTGGCCGCCATGGAGCGCTCAGTCGCAGCGGGCTGAGAGCCCTTCAGGCACTCACAGCGGGAATTTTGCCAAGACATGAGATGCCGACCGCATGGGAATCGCCGCGTACAACACATTGTATTCTGCGAGTGGTGATTCTGAAGACGGGGGCATGGTGTGTGTGTATATATATATATATATGGTACCCCCCCCGCAGGGGTCTACCTTATTATGCCTCTTCACTGTTCGTCTCCTCCTCCTCCTCCTCCTCCCTCCTCCTCGTCCTCCTCCTCCTCCTCCTCCTCCTCCTCTTCCTCCTCCTCCTCCTCCTCCTCCTCCTCTTCACTGTTCGTCTCCTCGGCTCCCGCCTGAGAGGTCCCCAAAAAACGCGAAGAGGAAGAGGCTCCCGCCTGAGAGGTCCCCAAAAAACGCGAAGAGGAAGAGGCTCCCGCCTGAGAGGTCCCCAAAAAACGCGAAGAGGAAGATGCTCCCGCCTGAGAGGTCCCCCAAAAACGCGAAGAGGAAGAGGCTCCCGCCTGAGAGGTCCCCAAAAAACGCGAGGAGGAAGAGGCTCCCGCCTGAGAGGTCCCCAAAAACGCGAGGAGGAAGAGGATCTCGCCTGAGAGGTCCCCAAAAAACGGAGTCAAATGGAGGCTCCCGCCTGAGAGGTCCCAAAGAAACCCAAAGAAACCCAAGAGGAAGGCCTCTCATCCCTGCAACTGTCCCAAAAAACAAAAAAACCCAAAGCTTCAAAGGAGTATGCCGCCCTTGCCAACAAGGCTGGAGCAGCGGTGGTGGTTCTCCTCTGGATTTTTTTTTGTTTTTTTGGATAGTTGCAGGGATGAGAGGCCTTCCTCTTGGGTTTCTTTGGGTTTCTTTGGGACCTCTCAGGCGGGAGCCTCCATTTGATTCCGTTTTTTTGGGACCTCTCAGGCGAGATCCTCTTCCTCCTCGCGTTTTTTGGGGACCTCTGGGTCGTGCTTCTGCACGCATCCACTGGGACGCACTCGTGCGCTTCCTTTGGGTCGTGCTTCTGCACGCATCCACTGGGACGCACTCGTGCGCTTCCTCTGGGTCGTGCTTCTGCACGCATCCACTGGGACGCACTCGTGCGTTTCCTCTGGGTCGTGCTTCTGCACGTATCCACTGGGACGCACTCGCGGCCGTGTCTGGGCGCAGTCGGCATGCACAGTTATATCAGTTTGATTGCATTCGGTCTGCTCCGCGGGGCTAATTAGGGGAGATGCTGCCAGCTGGTTCAGCAGCGACGCGAGGGAGTGAAGGGCGCCCTCGTTCTCGGTGTCCGCCAACGCGTAGGTTGGCGTCGGGGTGCTCTCGGCGAGGCCGCCAGGGCAAAACGTGTTATTCGGGCCGATTGCCTAGCTTTCGCTTTGAAATGCAAACCTCGTCGGATCCCAAACAGCGAGCTGCTGCATTGCAGAGGTGCGAGCTATGCGGTGCAAGCTACGCGGTGCATGCGTGCTACGTTGTATAAGCTGTGCGGTGGAGGCAGTCGTGGAAGTCTGAGCCGCGGTGAAAGCTATGTCGTGCAAGCTGCGTTGGGACGGTGGACATCTGCGTTGGGCGACGAAACCGCATGCGTGCAAGCGTCGTTTGGAGTGCCGTGCGAGCTCCACAGTTGGCGATCGCTACAAATGCGTAATTCGTCGGTTCCGCCACCGCTGTCATCGACGCCGTCATGTCAGCTGTATATGGTACGAGTTTGCGCCCAGGGCAATAAACGACCCGCCCCGCAGCCTGCTCACATGATCGCAGCGTCGGCCGCGGCCCCGCAAAAGCTCGCGGAGGCGCAGCTCCTCCAAGTGCAGGTGGAGCAGGGGGTTGATTACCTAGCCTTCCTGAAGACTTCAGGACCTTACCAGGGCAAGCCTTTGCAATCTCACGCGGCGCTTCCCAACGGGCTTGGGATTACGTTTCAGATGAGGGCGGGGCTCAGAGTTCTACGACGTTGCCGCTGGCCGCGCCCCCCTTGCCCCCAGCCTGCCCCTCGAAGCACAAACCATTGGGTGTCGAGTTGCGCGCGCTCCGTCGGTTGGCGCGCTCTTTCTCGGAAGGCGTCGGCCTTGCACTCGCGCCGTCTCTGGCCTGGTCTGGGCTCTTGGGTCGGCCTGGACAGGGTTTTAGCCCCCCCCCCCATGGCACTCGCTTGCGTCAGAGGACGCGGTCGCTTCATGCAGAACCAGATACTGGTCGCGTTTGCCAGCGGTAACTCCATGACAGTCAGCGGCTCAGTCCCGCCGAGCCGATGAGTGGCCAGAGAGTGGGCGACCTTCTCCGATTCGACCGATTTGCGATATTTGCTTTGCATGCCTGCCTCTTAGCCAGCCGAGAGGCGCCCGCCCCTCGTAGTCGTTGTCGGCACTCTGCAGGAGGATGTACGTGGAGGACGTGGAGCCGACCCTCGAATACAGTGGGCCGAAGGTATGGGCAGACGTGGAGGCTGACGAGGCGACCTTCGACAAGTTGGACTTGACCGACGGGCCCGAGCCTCTGGGAGACCCAACTCACCCCGTCATGTGGGAGCAGTGGTTGGGCAGTGTGCAGCGCGGCAGGCCGCGCACGCTGACACTTACGAGATTGTGCCCCGAGATGGCGAAGAAGCGGGCGCCTGGCCCTGGGGCCGTGCGCAAGGTAGAGTGGAAGCCCCTTGCGGGGCGCTGGCTGAAAGACCGCGATGTTGTCTTTCACACTGACTCGGCGCGTTCCTACAAACTACGTGTGCCCGGAGTCCTTCACGACTTCGTTGTTCACAAGAAGAAGTACAAGAACGTCGGCGGCAAGAAGGTGCTCATTCCCCCCAGGTACGTCGAGCTGAAGACGCACGTACTCCCGTCGGGCAAGCACCTCAAGGTCAAGAGCGGCACCCAGATCATTGACCGTGCGTGGCGCTTCATCAAGGACCGCGTGCACAGGAGCGCCAATGCCAAGGCAGGAATCAAGCTGCTCGCCACCAAGATCCGCTCGGCCCAGTACGACTACTGGCACAAGGACGACGACATGTGGGCCAAGACGGGGGAGATGGTGCAGCACATCATGCGCGACGTGCTGACGGCGTGATCGGCCCGCGGCGGACGTTTTGGCGTCGACGTGGGCAGTGCGCCCGCACTGCTCGGGGAGTTCTATTGGCACAATGACGCGACATTCGAGTTACTTCGGTGCGCATGGCGCAACAAATTATGCGCAACGTACAGTATGCGTGATCGGCCGCGGCAGCCGTATGGGCGTAGACTTAGGTAGTGCGTCTGCACTACGTCGGGGTTCGGCCATGGGTACTCTTCATTGCGTGCTTCTGCACCTAGAGGTTTGTAATTCAAAAAGAATGCCCGCGGGTCCTGAAACCCAAACGCATCGCACTGCCAACGGGTCCAATCATCTCACCGCCACCGCGCCATCGGAAATTCTAGCATACACTGTCAGCACAATGACAGGAACGCAACATCACATCATCGCTTCGCTTGGACGCCGACATATTGAACGGTAGACCCCTGCGGGGGGGGGGGGGTAGCATATATATATATATATATCTAGACTAGAGAGAGAGAGAGAGAGAGAGAGAGGAGAGAGAGAGAGAGACAGAGAGAGAGAGAGAAAGAGAGAGAGAGAGAGAGAAGAGAGAGAGAGAGAGAGAGAAAGAGAGAGGGATATAAAGAGATGGAAGAGGGAGGGAAAGATAAGAGAGGGAGAGGGAGAGGAGAGAAGAGAGAGAGAGAGAGAGAGAGCGAGAGAGAGAGAGAGAGAGAGAGAGAGAGAGAGGGAGAGAGACCGAGAGAGAGAGATAAAACAGGAGAGAGAGAGAGAGAGAAGGAGCGATAGAGAGAGAGAGAGAGAGAGAGAGAGAGGGACACACAGTGCTTGCCCCCCCCCACCCTCCAGCGCGAGCGCTCGCGGGCCAGGCGGTGCCCTCCGTGTGAGCCCCACATCCCTCCCATAGCGAGCTCCGAACGGGATTTCGGAATCTCAGGGCAGAATCTGGCCGTGGTGACCCGGGAGGGGGGGCCCAGAGGCCAAGGGGAGATGAGAAGCGTCAACAGCTCACTTCCCACACCTCCTCCTCCTCCTCCACCACCACCTCCTTAGCCTCCTCCCTCCTCCCTCCTCCGTCCTCCTCCTGCTCCACCTCCATTCTCCTCCCTCCTCCCTCCTCCCTCGTCCCTTGTCTTCCCTCCTCCCTCCTTCCTCCTCCTCCTCCTCCCCCCCCGAGACCTGCCGGCATGCTGAGGGCACCGGGCGCACCCTCGCATGCTGATCCGTGAAGTGCAGCGCCCCTTCGCCTCCGCCCCGACCAGAGGAGAGAGACTCCAGGCTCGAGGATCGAGGATCCACTCGAGGATCGAGGATCGAGGCTGGAGGGCAGGGGTTCGAGGCTCGAGGCTCAAGGCTCGAGGCTCCGAGGCTCTGCTGCTCCCGCTTCCCCTCCGCCCCGCCCGCCTCTTCGCAGGCGGAGGCCGCTGCCGCTCCAGCGGGCTCGTCGGCCAGAGCGCCGCTGGCCGCCGACGGGGCGAAGGAGGCCGCCTGGGCCTCCGCCCCACCCCGGGGGAGGGCCAGGCGAGACAGGAGGATGAGGAGGAGGAGGAAGAGGAGGAGGAGGAGGAGGAGGAGGAGGAGGAGGAGGAGGAGAGGAGGAGGAGGAGGAGGAGGAGGAGGAGGGAGGGAGGAGGAGGAGGAGGAGGAGGAGGAGGAGGAGGAGGAGGGGCGGAGGAGGAGGAGGAGAGGATGAGGGAGGAGGAGGAGGAGGAGGAGGAGGAGGAGGAGGAGGACGAATATGGTAGGATGTGATGGGAGGGAGGAGGAGGAGGAGGGGAGGAGGGGGAGGAGAGGAGGAGGAGGAGGAGAGGAGGAGGAGGAGGAGGGAGGAGGAGGAGAGGAGGAGGAGGAGGCGGAGGAGGGGAGGAGGAGGAGGAGGAGGAGGAGGAGGAGTGAGGAGGAGGAGGGAGAGGAGGAGGGGGAGACGCTGCGCCATCTCTGCTCCGAAGAGGGCTCGGAGATTTGCGGCAGGTGATCGGATGTTCTGCTGAGGTTTTCCGGCCCCCGGGGGGTTCCCATCAGCTGCGGCCTCGCACGGGCGAACCAGGGGTGTCAGGCTCGCCCCGGACGGCCGCCTCCGGCCCGCGCCCGAAAGCAGTCGGGAGGAGGGTCGGTCGAGGGGCGGCCCTGCCCCGCGTTGTTCGCTCTTCTGGACCTCTGGAGGCTTCTCGTCGCCACGGCTGGATGGGCGGGGGTCCAGGGAAGGCTTTGAGCGGATTCGGGGGCGGCGGAGGAGCCGTCGTTGTTCTCAACTGGCCTTCTTCCGATCATCCCTCCTCTCCTTTCGTCCTGTTCGGATCCTCAACTCCTGGGAGGTCAAAATTCTTGATAAAAGCCCTGGTCGACATCTCGTTTAATCCGGCCTAATCCCGCTTGATCCCGCTTAATCCGTCTTGATCCCGCTGATCGAGGCCCACTCTCGCGTAACAGTCTCCCCAGTGGGGCTTAATCCTCCTTAATCCTTCCGACGAAAACCTCCCAGTAGTTGCCTCCTCCGTTCGTCACGCAGGAAAGGCGCATTGAGGGAAACGGGTCCAGAGTTTTTGTTCCCTGTCTTCGGGTTCCACGGGGGCGCCCTCCCGAGGCCCAGGGGCAGCCAGAACGACCCAGGACAAGAAGCTACACATTGTTCATTTCTAATTCTTCGAGAGTTGATTTTTGTGGGGCCGAGATTCTTTCATTTCTAATTGTTATATCCTGGGCCTCTTCCTGGCCACTAGGGGCCAGGAGCAATTAGAAACGAGCACGATTAGAAATGAGCATGATTAGAAATGAACGACGTGTAATCCTGGGGAAAGCCGTGGGTCTCAAAAGCCCGCCCGTTTCCCTCAGGACCCTTTTCTTTCATAGGAATATTTGCCCTGTTCCTCCTTCCCTCCCTTCCTTCCTCACCGCCGGGGAGGAGGAGGAGGAGCAGGGTGCGGAGGAGCAGGATGAGGAAGAGGAGCAGGAGCAGGAGGAGGAGGAGGAGGAGGAGGAGGAGGAGGAGGAGGAGGAGGAGGAAAAAGAGGAGGAGGACGGCCAGGCCTGACTATGAGCGTTGACGCCCCCCCAGACTCCCCGACATGGTCTTCCAGCCCGCGGCCTGGGAGCTCCCGACCCACTTCCCCTGGGTCCGCCTTCGTGCCCTGGGTCGGCTCCCCGTGCTCTCGGGAAGTCTCTTGAAGCGTCTTTGGGAGGTCTTGGGGACCTCTTGGGCCGCCTTTGAGCGTCGGAAATCAGGAGAGGCGAGAATGCCAAAATCTGTTCATCAACATTTTGGCGTGATTCCTGCCTCTTGGGCCCTCTTGGGAGGCCTTTTGGAGGCTTCTTGGGGCGTCCCGGAGGCCTCTTTGGGCCGTCTTTGGGACCATTTTGCACGTGTGGGAGCGGTGGAGCGGCCCCCCGGGAGGCCGAGGCGAGGGCCGCGCGGTGGGCATTGGAAGCACCCGTGCGTCGGAGGTCTGGGCCCCTGGCGGCTGCCCGCGGCAGGGCCGTTGGGCCCTGCGACCGGCGCCCCGAGTCTCCACCCTGCCGAGGGGCCGCACGGCTCTCGGGAGGGAAGAAAAACACACAGACAGAATGAATCGTCGATCCCCAGGAAAAGATGGGAAAATATGGGAAATGGGGGGGAAGACAAAATCCTAGAAAATATAGGGAAAATATGAGGAATCCTTTTATTTGTGTGTATTTATTTGTGTGTCTCAGGGCCCCTTCACGGGTGTCGCCTTTCTTGGCCCTCCCAGGTCCTGACCTCGAAGGAGGGACCACAGCATAAGCGTACCCTTTCGGCGCTCCGCTCGGATCTGGGCCCCCCCTGGCGGCGCCTCCGGTGCCGCCCCTGGCGCGCTTCGCGCGCCAGGGAGGGGGCTCCAGCGCGGATCCGAGAAATCCGCGCGGACCGTCGGAAGTTTATGTTTATGCAGTTTCTTGTTCCTCTAATTATGGCACTATGACCGCTTGCTGCAGGTTTTTGCGGGCCCTTGCCGTTTCTTCTGCCCTCCCTGGTCCTAACAGCCTGCGGTAAGTTTCTGGGGGCCCTTGCCCTTTCAGCGGGACCCTCCATTCCAGTGAAGCGGAACGTCTATGCCGACTCCTGAGGAGAGCTCGCCGGACAGGAGCGTACATGCAGCATCAGGGATTCGTGCTAAGGTTACTCGGGCTCCTCTCCCTTTTCCTCCGCCTCCTCCTCCTCCTCTTCCTCCTCATCCTCTGTAGTCTCTGTGGCTCAAGCCTTGATATTGCTGCTCTGGCCACCCGCCCTTTGGCCACCCGCCCTACTACCCCCCAATGAAGATGGCCGTCGCCCTCCTGCTGCTGTCCCTGGCGGCCGCCCCAGTGGCCACCGGCAGCCCGGTGTCGAAGGTGACTGGGCAGTGCCAAGGGGGTCACGACCATGTGGATCGGCGCGGGGGGTTCTATGGGGGACATTGGGGGGATTATCAGTGGATGCCATGGTGGATTATATCTGGCCCAACCCAGCCTATGAGTGGGTGCAAAGTGCCATGGGCGGCTCAGGGGGGTAAGGATGCTGTCTGCCCCCTTGATTCCGCGTATGGCACTTGACAGTTGCAACCCAATCGTAAGCTAGGTAGGCCACTTATAATCCTCCTTGAAATCCACTGATCCGCCGATCCAAGTAACTAGGGGGGTCACCAGTTCCTTCTGGAAGTCGAGGTGTTCGGATCGAAGCTCGAGGAGGTGTTTGAACGTTTGAGGTAGCATTGGAAGGCTCTGGGGTGCTCATACGGGGTCCACTTCTTCGATGAAGTGGCGCTTCCTCGAGGAAGTGGCGAGCCCCCCCCCCCCCCCGTGGTGACCCTTCACGGCATTCTGCCCCAAGGTGATCGAGATGCTGTCCGACCTGCAGGCCAAGGTGGTCGCGGAAGGGGAGGAATCCCATTCGGTCTTCGCCACCTTCTCGGAGTGGTGCGAGGATCAGAGGAGGAAATGGTACCTATTTTGCTACCCCTCGACTTGTTTCAGCCGCTTTGGGCCTCCCGGGAGGGCCTCGTCGCCATGGCTGGAGTCGCCTCGCAATTCTGGCCAGGACGCACCCCGGGAGAGGTCCGGGGGAGTCACGATATTGTGTTTTTTTCGTTTTCCCGGAGGACGAGGCTCGCCAGCTTGGATTCCAGATCAAGACTTCGCAGGGGGAGGTCGCCAGTCTGAAGGCGACTATCGAGAAGGAGGCGTCCAGCATCGCGGCCTACGAGACCAAGATCGAGGAGCTCGCCGCCGAGCTGGCCCTGGACGAGGCCGACCTGAAGGCCGCTAGCGAGATTCGTGCGAAGGAGCAGAACGACTTCGCCGCTTCGGATAAGGAGCTGGTGGAGGTCATCGACACGCTCAAGAGGGCGACCGCCATTCTGACGAGAGAGATGGCCAAGATCGGCTCCGCGTCCATGCTCCAGCTGCAGAGCGCGAAGTCTCTGGAGCAGGCGCTCTCCGCGATGGTGCAGGCCTCCATGATCAGCTCCACCGACGCCAGCAAGCTGTCCTCGCTGGCGCAGACCATGCAGCAGTCGGACGCGGAGGACAGCGACGCGGGCGCTCCGGACGCGGCCGTGTACCAGGGCCACGCCGACGGCATGGGCCGCGAGGCGGACGGAGGCATCATCTCGGTCCTCGAGGACCTGACCTCGAAGGCGGAGGCGCAGCTGGACGGGCTGCGGAAGGCGGAGACGTCGTCCCTCCAGAACTTCCAGGTGCTGGCCCAGAACCTGAAGGACGAGATCAAGAACGGCAACGCGGACCTCGCCGAGGCGAAGAAGGGCATGAGCGCCAGCGGCAGCTCGAAGGCGGAGGCCGAGGGCGACCTGGCAGCCACCTCGAAGGACCTCGCCAGCGATGAGGACACCAAGGCGGGCCTGCACGCGAACTGCATGGAGAAGGCAGCCTCACAAAACATGGACCTATACACATAAGACGCACGCACAGACCCACACACTCTCGACATACTATGCATAAGAGCAGTACACCAGACATAAGATCAATCCACATACACATGTAGTCAGACAGACGACATAACATACACTCCTGGAGGTCCACGCGGATTTCTCGGCTCGACGCCGGACCCCAGGGCGCCGCCCCAAGGCGCGCCGATCCAAGAAACCCGGGCGGAACTCAGACAGTGTGTACTTGCATGCTGATTTTCTTTGAGGCAGAGACTTTTGAGGCCGAGCAGAAGAGCCGCGGCGAGGATCAGGGGCAACGTTGGGGGGGAGATAAGTAGGCTCAGGCGGGAAAGTATCGACCCCCAATCGCTCATGCATCGCCGATGGGGGCCCGATAGTCCACCCCGCTCAGGAACGTCCGGATGCACTATCGGGGGCCCATTACCGATCTATCGACGATGCATCGTCGATTTCGGCTCGATGATTACCCCCGCCCCTAAGTCGGTCCCCCAGACATCTTCCGTCTGGATTTTTTGACACCGTGTCTCCCCAGAGATTCTGGCCCCTTCCCGGGACCGGCTTTTCACCCCGGGTCGTTCTTGGATGGTCCTTGCGCCCGGTGAGGAACCCTGGAGGCCGAAAACTAGGCACAAATTCTCCGTCGTGTTTGTTACTCATCCTTCCACAACGAGAGGATGTCAGGGACCGTCCCCTCCCAACGTTGCCCCCCCCACGAGGAACTGAAGGCGCTGGCGGAGGCCAAGAAGGTCCTCACGGAGACGACCTCCGGGGCGGCCGCGCAGAGCTACTCGCTGCTGCAGACCACGGCCGCCTCCGGGCTGTCCACGGGCGCGGACCTCGCGCGGTACGAGGCCGTGCGCTTCGTGCAGGACCGGAGCCGCGCACGCGGGGGGTGGCGGAGGTCCGACCCTGGCATGCTCTTGCTGCAGAGCGGCTCACGGCGCAGAGTATTTTGCCCATCTTCGGCCTCTGGGGGCCCTCCCCGGGCCCTGGGACCGTACAGGACGGCTCCAGCTGGAACGCTGGTCCAGGGGGAAGGGGTCCATGCCTGACGGAGGATGCTTGGCGAGGTGGGGATTTGCCCGTACACACCGCATGGGGCATCCATCTTCGGGGACCTCGGCAGGCGGTGGACGAGGACATATTCGGGCCCTTGGCGGCGCCAGACATATCCTTACCCACCGCCTGCCGAGGTCCCTGAGGACGGATCCCTACGCGGTGATTATGGGTAAGTCGTCGCGTCGTACGCGGGGAGTGGCCTTGGAGATGGCGGGGGCTTCCTGGAGGGCAGGGCCCTGGGGCTTCCCGGGGAGGCCTCTCGGTGGCAGAAGCCCGCCTGCATTCTCTCCGCTTGCACGCAGGTGACACTGGGGCCCCCAGATGACGGAAGGCGATGCGATCGCAGCGTCTTCCACGCCTGGTGTTGACCTCCCCACTAGGGGAACGAACAATGACATGAGCATAACAACTCGGAGGTCCGCGCGGATTTCTCAGATCGGCGCTCGACCCCCCTCCCTGGCGCGCGGAGCGCGCCAGGGGCGGCGCCGGAGGCGCCGCCAGGGGGCCCTAGCGCCGATCCAAGAAATTCGCGCGGACCTCCGAGTTTTACGCTCATGTCATTGTTCGTTCCCTTCGCGGGGAGGTCAGCACCAGGCGTGGAAGACGCTGCGATCGCATCGCCTTCCGTCATCTGGGGACATCCGCGTTCTTATGTTTATGCCATTGTTCGTTCCCCTCCCCACGGCCCCCGCGAGTCGCTCTCCAGAGGCCACACCCGTCCAGGGGGCAACTCGTGCGCGTGGGCGGCGAGCCCCCCTGGAGGGCCTCCATGGGGCCGCACCCCTCGCGCCCTCCGCTCCTGAGGAGGAGGAGGAGGAGGAGGAGGAGGAGGAGGAGGAGGAGGAGGAGGACGAGGAGGAGGAGGAGGAGGAGGAGGAGGAGGAGGAGGAGGAGGAGGAGGAGGAGGGTGGCGCGCCGCCCGAGGACCTCTCGGTGAGGCAGAACTCGACCTCCCTCGCGCAGCTGGCCCTGCGCATGGCCTCCGTCGTCCGCGTCAGCAGCGCCAGCGGCGACGACCCCTTCGCCAAGATCAAGGGGCTCAGCCAGCTGCGCTGCCGCGCGAGTCCGCCGCCGCGCTCCCCAGGGAACCTACACGTCGCAGATTCTTTTCACACGGACCCATCTCCAGCCCGCGGAATTCCGCAGCAAGGTGGGTCCCAGCAGTCCGGTTGAGTTTTGTTGTGATGTCGCAGTCTCTTCGTGACGCTGGGTCTCGGGGCAGGGCCCGGAGGGATGCGCGCGCCTTCCACGGAGCGTCCTGCCAAGGGGACATGTCTGTCCGAGAAGGAGCAGGTTGCAGGGGGGTCCCTGGAAGCAGTGAGCGCACGTTGGGCTGGATGCGTCGGACCCTCGTTGCTCGAGTAGGGGATCGACTACAGAGCTGGTTTATACCCCAAAGTTGAACTTCTCGCCGAATGTACGACACATATGTAGAACACTCCTAGATCATTCCACGTATTTTTCGTAGGTTCGACGAGAAAATCAAGTTCGGGATACATTGATCCTGTGGTCGATCCCCTACGCGAGTTCTTCGTCCTGAGGGAGCAAGTGTAACAGAACGCAAGGGCCCGATTCACACCGAGCGCTGCGCGCGCGGTGGCGGCTATCTGGCATGATCGAAAAGCTCGAGGGGGAAGCCGCGGCGGACGCGGATCACAAGGCCTTCTGCGACAAGGATCGGGGAACAACCAATGGCATAAACTTACCTTTTGAAGGTCCGCGCGGATTTCTCGGATCGGCGCTGGACCCTCCTCCCTGTCGCGCGCAGCGCGCCAGCAGCGGCGCTGGAGTCGCCGCCAGGGGGCACCAGAGCCGATCCGAGAAATCCGCGCGAACCTCCAAAAGTTTGTGTTGATGCCAGTGGTTGTTCCTCGAGAGGAGCTGTCCGAGAACGAGGAGAAGGAGGCCGACAAGATCGCGGAGGTCGAGAAGCTCACCTCGAAGATCGATCAGTGGAGTGCCCGGTCGGCGCAGCTGAAGACCGAGGCGGCGGAGCTGCAGAGTGCGCTCGCGAAGCTCGCGTCGAGCCAGGCAACCATGGACAAGATCCGCGGGGAGGAGAAGGCGCTGTACACGAAGAGCCGTGCCGAGATGGAGCAGGGCCTCGAGGGCGTCAAGCTCGCCTTGAAGATCCTGAACGAGTACTATCCAGTTGCGCTGCCGCGCGATTCCGCCACTGCGCTCGGGCGGGCGGGGCGGGGAGACGCCTTGGGGGGTGGGAGGTGAGGGGTGGGTCCCAGGAGCCCGCCTTGCCCAAGCCCTGCATTTGGGACCGTTTTCTGCCCGGGAGGCCCACGACGCAGGAACTTGGCCACAAAGCTAATCGGCTAGACGTAAGAGCGACCTTTCGCGGGAGTGACCTTTGGTGCGGGCCCAAATGGGTCCCCTTAACGCCGAACGCGCTGCGACATCAGCGGCTTGCGTGCTTGGGTTTGGCCCCCCCGCGCCTCCACAATGCCGCGCACCAAAGGTCACTCTTGCCCAGGGTCACTCTTGCGTGTAGCCGAGTGAACGGCATATTGGCCGCAAACTTGAATGCATCTTGATTCGCGAAAGGCGAGAGGGCCAACGCACACCAACCGCTGCACGCGCGGCGGCGGACAGCAAGGACGGCAAGGCA